AATATCTCGGTATGTTTTATATAATCTCCATCTCGTCTACCTGGGCGTCGGCCAGGAACACCATCATGTCTCCCTCCTCTCCTCTGCGGTGCAGGTCCAGCACCATGTGGCAGGCGGCCGACACCGGTTCCTTCCCAGAGGAAAGCTCCCGGTACATCACCTCCACCTGGTGGTGTGGGGGCCGTTCGGGGCCGTCCGGGGCCAGGTGTGGGACGGCGGGGCCCAGGAAGGCGGCAAGGCGCGGCGCCAGCGTCGGGTGGGCAAGAAGGACGACCCTGAAGCCGTCGGGTCGCTGGCGGCAGACGTCACACAGCAGGCCCAGCAGCACGTCGGTGGGAACGGTTCGCTCCTGCAGCTCGTCCAGAACCACCAGGTGGTACTGCCGCAGCAACGGGTCCGACATCATTTCCTCCAGCAGCAGGGAGTCGCTGACGAACCTGCAGGGGGGAAGAGAGAGAGGATTAACCTGATGGGATTCAAACCAACAACTTAAAGGGCCAGTACAGGGGCATTCTGTGTTTTCCAGACCAAATCTAAAAAATAAACGGAGATAAACTGATTCCTTGCTATGAACTCATTCACATTAGAAACATTTTCTCTGGTTGGTGCGGATCGTTGTTAAGCTGGACGTGACTCTGATCTGCAGTTTAAAACAACCCGATTGGCTGTTTGGCAGAACAACCTGATCTCATATTATCATCAGGCTGACCGTCCTCCCGGCCTCCTCACCTGAGCAGGGTGTCAGGTGTGCAGCTGTCGTCATGTGACACCCGGTATCCGACCTCCAGGCCCAGACTCAGGTCCATCTCGTCGGCCACGCGCAGCGCCAGGCTCAGCGCCGCCTCAGGGTGCGGCTGGGAGCAGCAGACCAGGCCGTGGGAAAACTCAAAGGACAGGGCGAACTCCACGCACCACTGGGCCACCTGCAGAGAGGGGGCGCCGCTGAGCACAGAGCAGGAGCATTAAACTTCCTGCTCCTGATCAGACCTGGACAAACATCCAGGAATAAAAACGTTTTCATCCAGAAACCAAACAAACATCAGATCCTGGAGAACAGAGTCAATATTTGATCAGAGATCAAGCAGCGGGCGCGGTCACCATGGCAACAGACAGCAGCTCCAGACCAGCAGGCCGACCTCAGTGACCTCACACTGAGCAGCCTGGGGTCAAAGGTGAAGCTGGAAGGAGGGCAGGGCGTCTCTGGCTGAATGGAGCTTCAGGTTACAGCAGGGAGTAAATTCAATCCTGACATTCATTAGGCTGAAGGGAGAGGCGTTACCATGGCAACCAGCAGGACGGGAGTCAGACAGGTGAAACCTCTGCTGGTCTGAAAACTACAACAGGTTGAAATACAGGGAACTGAGTCACTTCTCTAAACTTTGTCATAAACTGTTTGGAAACTATAACTAATTATTCTTCATGGTTCTGATCCATAAAAAGGTCCGATCAGGAGCAACTATTCCAACTAAAACTTCCCACAATGAATCCAGGAACCAGCCGTGGGAACGCTAGCTAAAGGCTAGCTCCAACAACACTGAGCATTAGATATGCTAATGCTAAATGCTAACAAGGTATTCATCTTTCTTCTCAGTTCGGTTTCCAGGTCCTGATTGGTTCCTCGTGTCTTCATCTTAACTCAGGCTGCTTTCATCAGAAAAACACCGTTGCCATGACGATATGCATCTCTCTACAGAGCTAATGTGGCTAGCCTTCCCTCTAACCAGCAGTGTTTCCTCCTGGTTACCTGTGTGCTCTTCCCGGCTCCACTGGGCGCGCTCAGCAGCACCATGCTGTGGCTCTCCAGGTGCTCCAGGAAGCTCTGGCGCAGCCGCCACACCGGCAGCCGCCGCCGCTCCTCCAGCAGGGCGTAGTAGCGCGAGGAGAAGGGCAGGCCGTCGTACGGGTTGACCTCCAGGTCGCCCAGGCCTTCCTCCTCACCGTCATCATCATCCAGATCCCCGGACAGCAGGGACGAGACGGACAGCGAGTCCAGAGCTGAGGGGGCGGAGCCACAGGGCTGCGGCGATGACGTCATCAGTTCACGGGGGAGGAGCCTACCTGCAGAGGAGGAGAGGAGGACTGATGGAGGACAAACTGTCGTCATGGCAACATGAACCAACAGATTCATCAAGACTTTCATCAGACAAGAAATTCATCCAGAACCATCCAAGTCAGAACCAATCAGAGGGGAAATCTAGTCAGAGTGGGCGTGTCTCTCTGCACTCTGGGCTCTGATTGGTCAGAAACCAGGAAGTTCTGGTCAGTCCAGTCAGAGCTGCTGGGTCAGAGGTCATGACCTTTACAGCCCTAAGGGTCATTTTACCTTCAGTTCAGATGAAAAAATTCATTTAGAAACAAGAGAAACAGAAAAACCTGTTTTAATAACATCTTTTCTAAGACATGTTCACGTTTTTAAATTAAATGATTTTACTTTTAGATTTATACGTTTCCTTCAATGGAACATTTCATTTTTTTAATAGAAATTATGTAAAAAAAACAACAATTAGTTTGCAAGTTTTTGTTAACTTCATAACAACAGAATATTCCTCCTGCTGTCAGCGTCTTTCTGTGCGTCAATATTTTGATCATTTTGAAGGAAATCTGAATATTTTATTACGTTAATTAATTATTAACCCTGACAGCAGGAAGCTGATCCCTCTGCTCTCCTGCAGGGGGCGACATGGAGCAGGACTCCATCTGAGGGTTTCCAGTCGGTCCAGAGTTCAGGCCTGCAGCTTGGATCAGAACCAGAACCAGGGCCAGAGCCAGAGCCAGAGCCAGGACCAGGACCAGGACCAGAGCCAGAACCAGAGCCAGGACCAAAACCAGGACCAGGACCAGGACCAGACCAGAACCAGGCTGGTATGTCTGGTCTGATGATTCTCTGGAGACGAACAAGTTTCCAGAAACATCTGAGCTCAGATGAACAGAGACACTAAAGTTCTTCATCAGGTCCGGTTCTGGTCTGAGGAGATCAGTTAAACTCAAATCATCGTTAGGAAAACTCTGGGTCGCTGTGGGGAATGAAACCGGGTCACTAAACCCGTCTAAGAAAAACAGAAATGAAAACCGACAGAATCCAAACGGTGAGGGTTCTCTCTGGTTCTGCAGCCGTTTCTACAGAACCACAAAGAACCGAGTCCAGAGAATCTGCAGAACAATCCAGAAAATACAAGAATTAAATCCTGAAACTGTAGAATAAAATCCATGTTTAACTCCAGACTGGACCCAAAGGAGCTGCTGGTTCTGACAGAACTGGGTCAGAACATTTCTACATGACGTCATAACTCAGATCATCCAGTTTCATCAGGTGGTGATGCTGCGGCTGGAAGGCTCTGCAGTAGCAGTCTGTGCACCAGCCCATCTACAGAGGCCTCTGACTGAAGACTGAGTTTTCTATCTGTCCCAACAGACCAACATGTCCTCAATGACATCATCAGCTGTTAGCATCTCTGCTAATCCTCCTCCTCTGCTTTTGCTGCTCCTCTTTAAACCTCTACCTGAGTGAGACGGTTTGGGGTCGAAGTTCAATTATTTAAGGTTTTGAGATGCTAATCAGCTGCTACCAGGATACCTTGTTGCCATGGTTATGCATCATTACCGTCTGAAAGTTAAAAAGCAGAAATCCAGAGGCAACAGAAGAATAGTCTGGTTATAATGTTTTGCCTGGTTTAGAGTACCGGATTAGTGTGACGTGGATGCTTCAGGAGGTCAAAGGTCACTTGGTCTGAATGACCAAAGGGCGGAGCCACATCACCACAGCCCGACCGTCAGGTCCAGGTGACCATCCTCCATAAATGAGAAGTTAAAATGTCCCTGCGGTCTTTGAACGCAACAGCATTTAGAGGCTTTTTAGCTTTCAGCAGTAAACAGTTAATATTCAGCCAGAAGCAGCGAGTCAGCTGACGGTCACACCAGCTCCAGTTAACCAGGAAGAACCAGGAAGAACCAGAATAACCTAAAGAATAAGCAGAAGTACCCGGGTAACCTGTCCGCCCGCCCCCTACCTGCTCTGAGTCATACCGGGAGACAGGTGAGGAAACCCGGGGAGACGCTCCACCTTCAGCCCGCTGCTGCTGTCGTGTCAGTCCGCTCGGAACATACCGAACACCAGCTGGAAAAGAACCGCGACAGGAGGCAGAAAGGGCGGGCATCCGCTCCCCGAGCGTCCCTGAGGATCCTGGCCGCTCCCGGTGCTTCAGCTGACGGCTCCCAGAGACAACAACAGGCGGAGGAGGAGTCCGGCTGCTTCAGCGACCAGCCGCCATGTTGGCTCTGCGCTGTCAAAGCCCGCGATGCGTTCAGGTGTCCTCGGACACCGCAGTGACGGAACCGAAACGCACGGAGCGCTTGAAGGGACACCTCACCAACAATTATTTCAGTAAAATCAAATAAATGTTTACTCAGCAACAAAAACATTTAACTTTAGCTTTGAATAAATTATTTAAATTTTCTAGTTTTCAGGAAGAGTCGGGTCGGTTAGCTTTTCTACCACAATGATAATAAAGATTGGAAAATTGTTTTTTTGTATTTCCTCCTAAGTTTGCCTCCGACATTAAAATTTGTTGTTTGAGCATTGTAAAGTGAAAAAGACAAAAACTTAAAACAGAAATCCTGTGGAAATACTTTTTCACAGCTCTGACAGACAGACAGTAGCTGACAGGGGCGTGCAAAGACATTTTGGGGGCAGGTGCTCCAGTGGAGAAAAAAGGCACCATGTGCAGCACATGGAACCGCCGGTTCACTCAGTAGTGCGAGATTTATTACAGGCACAGCATCAACACCATACATAGTGACCGGTTTCAAATCAACAGCCTTTAGCTCCCTGATGCAGGTGTTTGATGATATTAACCTGGAAAGAAACATCAGAATATTTCTAGCATGTTTAGTTTTGATCAGTTTGCTCTGATCATTAGCTGCTCATCATGCTGAGACGCCATGTTGTTAGAAACAACAGAAACAAACAGTTTGGTTTGTTTCTGTAAAGAAATGAGACGGAGTGAAACGTGTGGAGTTTATTCCAGGTTAAATAAGAATTTGAACATTTATTAAACATCCTGACATGTAAAACTGTAAAGCAGATTTATTATAAATGTATGGAAATTAATTACATGTAAAAGTTAAAATATTTCTCAATTAACAACTAAATTATTTCTAATATTTCTATAAAGTAAAAGGAATCAGAAGTGCATTAAAATGATTTTATTTTAAATCAGCTTTTGTTTCCGTTTCTTTGCTTATACAAACATGTAAATTAGTTTTAGCTCTGCATCATTTGTCCTTCACCTCCAGATCAGTTTAATTAGAGGCTGGATTCTGATCACAGGTCCAACATGAGGACGTCTTCAGGACAAAGTCCACTGAGGGACAGGAAGTCGTCCATAATCGTCTCTATGGATTGTCAGGGTAACAAACTCCTCCGTTCTTCCTGGTTCTGCTCACAAACTGGATCCAGTCCCTGAGTTGCTCCTCCCAGTCCTTGCACCAGTCTGCACTCCGCTCCAGGTTCTGGTACCGGGTGGGTAACTGGTCCAAAGCCAGCACGGCCTCAGGGGGGTCAAAGGTCAGACCGGCCTTCTCCACCGCCGCCTGAAACTTCGCTGGAGACGCCGTAGCAACGTAGCATCTGCAGCCGTCAGGAGAAACAGGAGAGAGAAAAACGTTTATCTACCTGCAGCAGGCCGGACAGAACTGGGAAGAACTGGACAGAACCGGGAAGAACTGGGAAGAACTGGACAGAAC